TCCATAGGGTCGTATGTTCGGTTATTTGGTTCCCATTTGGAAGAAGTACTAAGAGGTGTGGCCTTGGAGGAGGTGTGTCATTTGAGATACACTTTGAGGTTTCAAAAAACTCTTGCACCCTCCAGTTTTTCTTTCTCTGCCTTTTGCCTTTGGATGAAGAGGTAAGTTCTCAGTTATTTGTGTCACTTTGTGATGCCATCATGGATACTAACCCTCTGAAAATATAAGGCCCAAACTAAACACTGTCTTTTACAATTTGCCTTGGTCATGATATTTTATCACAGCAATGCAAAACTAACTAATGCAGGTGTGTGTGTGTGTGTGTGTGTGTGTGTGTGTGTGTGTGCAGTTAGAGTGAACCTAGGTCATGGAGGAACTTGAGTATCATCAACACAAATGGAATGTACCAAGTGCGAGAGTGGGGTCTGGTTTTTGTACTTAGGTTTTACTCTTTGCAGACTCTGTTGAGTTTCCATGGGACCAGAACAAAGTTAGAGTGTAGTGGGACATTTTTTTCTGCAAGTTGGTAGGAGCTAATGTGGGAGGAGTAAGGAGAGGAAGGGAGAGGAAGACGAGGAGCTAGAGGAGAGATGTATGAGTGATGGAGAGCCACCCATGTACCGAGAGCAGTCCTGAGTAACAACTTATATCTAGGTTAGTTAATTGGTTAACACTTTCAATTGTGTGGGCATGTTGATATTTGAGCATTACCAAATATATAAAGCTATTGGATAACCTTTAACCATTAGAGTCTCATTTCTACTCGGTACCGTGTGGATGGTGGGATGGTCTGGGCTCAGCCCAGCCTTGCAGAGACAGCATGGAAGATTGGCAGAGCCATCACCCACGCTGGCATCTTGTGGGTGTCAGGGTCGGTATCTCTGGCCGCCTGAGCCAGAGGCCTGAGCAGAGCAGCAGCAAGAACACGCTGCCACTCGTGGCCACAGGCCTTGTCTAGTTGGGAAGATGGCAGGCCCCGGAACCACAAGCCAGATCGGGTGCTGCTGCATTAAATATCTCCTGCAACATTAGAGGGCACTTTGATTCAGGTAAAAATACAGCCAAGAACTGTTCCATAATGTGTTCATTTTTTATTACTTTGTTAATCTGAGAATTTGAGACTGTTTCTTGAAAACTCTCTTTGTACTTTGGAAAATGCTTAGTAAGGGAAAATGAATAATCTAGCAACATGTCCTCTTTAGCTTTAGTTGTCAATTTGACATAGTCTAGAGGTACCTGAAAAGGGAGTGTCAACTGAGGCAGAATGGCCTGTAGGTATGTCTGTGGGGGCTGAATGTTAATTGATGCAGGAGGGCCCAGCCACTGTCCCTGTCAGTACTTTTGGCTGTATAAGAAAGATGAGTAAGAGCCTGTGACTGAGCCAGTACGCAGAGTTCCTCCATGGTTTCTGCTTCATGTTCCTGCTTGGATTCCTGCCTTGACCTCCCTCAATGATGGGCTGTGACCTGGAAGCTGAAACAAACCCTTTTCTTCTTGAGTTGTTTTTAGTCAGTTGTCTTAGTTAGGGTTTCCATTGCTGTGAAGAGTCACTATGGCCAGGACAACTCTTATAAAGGCAAACATTTAATTGGGGCTGGCTTAGAGTTTCATATGTTTAGTCCATTATCATCATGACAAGGAGCATGGCAGCATGTAGGTAGACATGGTGCTGGAGGAGCTGAGAGTTCTACATTTTGATCTGAAAGCAGCCAGGAGGAGATGGATTTCTGCAGGTAGTCAGGAAGAGGATCTCTTTTTCACTGGGTAGAGCTTGAACATAGGACCTCAACACCTACCCACAGTGACACACTTTCTACAAGGCCACACCTATCCAACAAGTCCACACACCTCTTAATAGTGTCACTCCCTATAGGACAGGCATTCAAACACATGAGTCTATGGAGGCCAAACCTATTCAAACTACCACAGGAAGAGTTACTTCTTTTGAGTTCCTTTAAGGATGTTTCCAAGTGGGTTGAATATTGTACTCTCCATTTGTATGGGCATCTAATCTTTCAACCTTGAGGCACTATGATATGATATTGCTATCTACAAAGTTTGCACACTATAACTAAACAATTGAGTTATAGAAAAAAATAGCCAAAAAATCCTTCATGTTTTAAATGAGTTTGTGGTTTTTTTTTTTGAGAACCACATTTATAGGTGTCCTAGGGTACATGTGCTGTAGATTGGACATGCCTGAGCATTGACAGATCTAAATGGCAAAGAGATATTCACTGTATTCCTTGAGGATTTGAGCTGGGTCTTCTGTAACTCTCACAATGACCCTCATGTGACCGATGTTACTAGTAGTCCAGAGTTTAGATATGGGGTTAAGGCGTGCCATCAATTTTTTGTGAGTCTCCACTTTGACAACTTCCTAGTTTTCATAATCATACAGCCGATGTTCATTAGCATGGTAATAAATAATGAAAGAATTTGCCATGTGAAGTGGTCAGGATCAGTGACAAGGAGGTCTAGTCACTGGCAACAGGACCTTGAAAGTAGGGGAGAGAACAAAATATAAAAAGAGACAATAGAAGAACTGGGAAAAGAATGGAAAGTTCTGGACACACATTTTCTGAGAATGCTCAACAAATTAATGGGAATCTTGGTAGAAAGCTAATGTTTTTGTTTTTTATTCAACCACAATAAGACATTCTGACAAAGTGCCTTTATTCCTACCCAGACATTTCACAAGTCAAGTCATGAGAGCTAGTCAGCTGTATGTTCTCTTAAAGCCACCAGGGGAAGCTAATCTTGGTGGGAAACTCACCTAAACTTTAAGGGTTCATTGGGCCTTCAGAGCTTGTTTGGAGGTTCTAGCAGATGACACAGCTACTTGTGTAACTTAGATTGGAGACTGATACTTCCCTATTATTGAAGAAGGTGGGCTTCGTTAACTGAACATGAGGCTTTGGGAGGAGACACCTGCCTACCCAGCCAGATCTGTCATCGATGGTGATCAATGAGGTGACAAATGTCACAGCCAGATGACCCTCACAACTGAAACTCTTTGATTTTACAATATAGACCATCATCCTGAAGCAACCAGCCTGGTTTTGCACCGCGTCTCTCTTTGGGAGGCTCACTTATGGAGTTAGCTGGGTGAGAGTATCTTGCTAGGCTGGAATGGTGTTCTCTGAGGAGTGGTGCATGCTCTGAATTAGTAATGAAGATCCAGTGCTGCATTTTGTTGCTGCTGAGTCCCAAATGATTAAGGGATGGAAAAGGCATTCATCCTCAAAGCTAGCTCCAGCAGTGTGCTAGGAAGGCTTTGCTCTGGGTGGTGCAGAGAGCTTGACTCCTTTATAGGCTGTTTCTACTGAGGAAGAAACATGATTCCTTTGAACCGAAACTTGAGAGCAGCTTCCTCACTGTGTCAATGCCATGGAGAGGCCAACTGTTCTGGCTCAGTACCTGTGGGATTTTGGGAAGGAGAGATTCTCTGCTGTAGGATACCAAACAAGTTTAGATCTTTGATCCCTGGCCAGGAGAAACTTTTGGTCCTTGGTAAAGCCCCTCAAATACTCACCTTCATGTCCACAAATGCCACATAGAGATGGGAAACTGATCCTGGTCAGGAGTTTCTTATGCTAAAATGGACAATACTTACATTTTTAAATAGAATCTTGATGAACAATAGCAGGATAATAAACTGTTTATTATATTTTCTGTTAAGCCTAATAAGTCAGAGGCATGGTTTTCTTTCTTTTCTTTTAATCACTGTATTTTCTAGTAGGGATTTAGTTTTAAGCCATCTGTGTGCTTAAAATACTATCACATATACTCAAAAACTGAACTGAAGCCAAGGCTTCAAAGACATTTAAATCCATAATCTATGAGTTTGGACCTTACATCATCAGAGCTTATTTAACAAGGGCAAGATACAGGATGTTTTTTATTTTCTTTTTATCTTGGTAGATTTTTAAAATTATTATTAAGCACTCTGCTGTACAGAAGGGTGCATTGCACTGGCCTCTGCCTTGTGAGCTCAGGTTTCAAATTAAACTTAATTTGTGCCAATGGGGATTGCATCAGCTGGCTAAATGTACACACACACACACACACACACACACACACACACACGGAGTCTTACTTTTGCTATCTTTGTTTTTCATCAGAATATTTATTATAGCAACAACTGCAAGATACTCTGGATGTTGAATTAACTGTGCTGTCCAAGATTCACTCTGGATGTTGAATTAACTGTGCTGCACGCTTCTCTTAGCTTTAGATGATTTTCTAGGACCTTCTCCATCCTCCTGCTCACCTTGGCCATCCTCCCGCTCACCTTGGCCAGTGGCTATCACTTCTAACAGCTTCCATCACACTTAGAAAGGTGGGTAAATCAGTTGACTTATCTGAGAGTTGACTGCCTTAATTCAGAGACAAGAGTGCTGATTTAAAGAGTTTGAGGAAATATCCCAAAGAACTTAGAAGTCCTTTCCAGTGTTACTATTCAGCGGTTCTAGGTTTAATTTCCGTCCTTCATAAAGTTTTTAGTACAAACCCAGTGACTTGACATCTTCAAGAGAGAGGCAGCCTCTGTGTGGCAAGCTCTATGCAGCATGCTCTAGGTGACAGGCTCTACACTGAAGGCTCCGAGGAGTCAGCATCTGGCTCCAGGCACCCCTGCATCCATCCTCTGAAGCTTTTTCTTCCATCCCATGACCTCATCTAACCTTCTAGCCTCCAACGAGTCAGGTTTCTAAGTCTAAAACTCTTTAAACCACGCACAGCTGTAGTCAGGGGTACAGCATGTTTCCCCATCCATCCTAACTCCTCTTTGAATGAATGAACAAATCAAGGCCAAGAAAGAACAAATAACTCACATGAGGTCACAAAATCAAATGGCAGGTGGTGTTTGAATTTCTGACTCCAGACTCACAGCTCTTTCTGTCGAACCTGATACCTAGTACCAAATGTTTATGATGTCTCAGGGTTCTTGTGCATAGACAGTTTTTTGCATTACATTTTTTGGAAAGTCTCCAGACTATGTGCTCTCTTCGGCAGCACATTAAAATTGGAACCTTCCAGAGAGGGTTAGCATGGCTTCTAAGCAAGGATGACATACAAATTGAAGAACTGTTCTAAAGTTAGAGAAAGATTTTGGACTATACTCCTCTTTTGGTTCTGGAGTATTTATACAGAACATTGTGTGCTTGTGAATGCAATTGCTTTGTCAACAGTGAAGGCCGAGCCCTGGTAATAACACAGAGCCTGGGGGATCATTTACAACATGTTCTTTCATCCAGAGGAGCTATTGGCTCAGTGAACCATTTGCTGAAAGGATGCTGATTCATAGTGTCCTTGAAGAACCAGTGGTGAGATGAAGGCACACACATTTACCTAGCAAATATTATGTTCTAGATGCTATACTGCATGGTACACTAGATAAAGCAGTCATACTCATTCAAACCCAACCAATGCTGAATGATGTACCTCAGGCAGGTTATCTAACCTCTCAGTCACATAGGGATGTCTGTATGATGAAGCTGATGCCATTTCTTACCTGTAAGAAATAAAGTGCTATGTGTGAAGAATCAGGGTCAGAGCCCGGGACTGTTGCTTAGTGATTACTGTGATGCTGAAAGTTAGTATATAAATATAAATATAATTATAAACATAAATATATAGTCATGCAAAAACAGTGACACATTTTACCATAACGAAAAGATACACATTGACCATGACAAAACAGCTATGTAAAAGACATAAACGAATTCAAGCCAAACCAACAATGGATGAACTTGTGTTCAGTGTTCTCAGTATCCCGTTGCTAACCAACTGAGGTTAAGCAGTTCATTAGAGCATCCTTCATGCAGAGTTAGGAGCACCTGGAGGACTGTGGTACCAGTAGAAAAATTGGTTTTCAAACCTTTTTTTATTTTAATTTTTAAAGTATATTCTTCGTCCCCACTACCACTTTTTACAGAGCATGCCATGGCATGTATGCAGAAGGCAGCGGACAACTCTCAAGAGTCAGTTCTCTCCTTCTACTCTGTGGGTCCTGGGGTTGGACCTCAGGTTGTCAGGTATGGTGGCAAAAGCCACTGAGCCATCGTGTAAGCCTAGGCCTTTCTTAACCTCCTATTTCAGGATTTGCAGGCAACTTGCATGTAATTCATACCATTGGAAGGTCCTGTAGTCCCAACGAGACTTTGTGGCACAGTCGGGAAATGGTTTTCTTTTTGTTTGTATGTCTTGAGACCAGCTGACCTTGAACTCCTTATGTAGCTGAGGATGACCTTGAACTCAGTCCTCCTGCCTCTGACTCCCCAGTGCTGGGATTACAAGTGTGTGCCACGATGCCCATCTTAGAGATGTGCACAACGCTCAAGAAGCATTGCCTCTGTTTTGTTCTCTTTGGTTTTAGACAGGGTTTCTCTCTGTAGCCCTGGCCGTCCTGAAACTCACTTTGTTGACCAGGCTGGTCTTAAAACTCAGAGATCCACCTGCCTCTAGAAGCATTGTTTCTGATGATTGGAATGCATGTTTATGGGCACAAGTTTTTAATATCTGTGAGGGACTGAACTAAACTTTTCTGTCTCAAGAACAAGACAGGCTACATAAAATGTGGCCACCCATATAACAGAATATATGCAACCTGTGGTTAGGGAATAATATTAACGACCTAGAAGAATATTCATGATATGTTATCCTTTATAAAACCCATCAAAATGTCCTGTGATATTTGTCTTAACAACAGTCATCTTGGATAGGGATGTTACGGAAGAGTATTACCTTTGTTGAATTTTTTCTTTATTTTGTAACTTTTCTGTAATAAGCACATCATGAATTTTTAAAGGAGAAACAACTTGTTAAAAACTACAAGTCTGGCCCCTATCAAGCAGTGTGAGAAAGGCCTTAAGTTCCTACTGTCCATCAGAGGACAAGGTGCCAACCATGTGTAGTGGGTTGTCGTAAACACCTGCCTTGAGAAAAATGTGGCCCTGAGCTGCTCAGCCTTGCAGCCTACCTCACAACTTTTGAGATGGAATCAACTACCCTCTTGCTTGTCACCCCTTCCCCAGAGCCTGATCCAGTCCTTGCTTATCCTAGTAGATGGACCTACCTCCCACCCCCACCCCCTGCACAATCATTTTAACCATTTTCCAAGTCCCTGTCAGAGCCTAAGTTCTCTGGGCACTGCTTATTCCTTGCCTCCCTTTTGCCAGGATCCTTTGTTTAAACTTTGTTCTTTTTTACCCCCATTTTGTATTCTCCCTGATTGGTCTAAATGCCTTCCCAGTTTAGTGAGTTTGCCTTCTTCATTCAGCTCCTTCTCTGTTTTATTTATTGTCGAGTATTTCCAATGCTCCGAATCAAGGTAAGTAAGAAGAGTGATTTTATTGGTAAAAATGTAAACAGTCTACAGGTTCCTATATCCAGGCAGTGTTGCCACAGATGGTTCTCTTCTGCTGCTCTTCTGTAACCGACTTGGAAGGAGTCCTGTCTCGCTGCCTGGCTGATGCAACAGCTTCTACCTTTGTGCACAGGTGGCTGCTCTCCTAAGTGATTCTCACAGTATGGAACTCAATATACTATTGTTACCTGACACACATCCAGTCACAAGCCCCTTGCGTAGGCCCTGACACATCAATATCCTTGAAATAGAAGAAATGGATGGGTTGGAATGGCTCACCGTCACCTCTGCCATTTATAGGATAAGGTAAGTCTGAGGCTTCATTTTGGTGGTGTGATTGTGATTTATGAAATCTCAGATGATGTGTATCAAATGGAGTGTTTCAGGTACAAGATGGGTGTCTAGGCAGAGGGAGACTATATCATGGTTCTACCTACTAGCAAGTGTACATCTTCCCATCCCTTATTTCTCCTTGGCTCCCCAAGGCATAGTGGTTACCATAGCAGCCAGGTGCTGATGATGCCTCCAGGGGCAGCAAGGTAAAATTGAGCCAGCTCTCAAGTCCTTACTTCGCCACGCTGTTACAGGCCAAGGTGAGATGGTCTGAAGTCTAGCCTTTTGTCAGGCCCCCAACCTGTTTTGCATCATTTAGACTCATAAACCTTGCTTCTGTTGACTGCAATCAGGGCTCTGGAATACCCTTCTAGAGACTCTCCTCCCCAGGTTGTATCTCCTGGCACTCTGCCTGGTTGCCTTGGAGACAGGTTCCACTGCGGACAAAGGAGGGAGCTGGGTCCTGCTTCCTCCTGGTCCTGCCGATGAGGATTTTTAGACCGTGGAGACTGCGCTGCCCTGCCCTGCACCTACCCTCTTTCCCCACATTCTCTATAAAGTGTAGTTTGCCTTCTCTTCCCACTGACGAAGACATGTGTAAGAGTGTGACCACAGGTGAGTGGAAGAAGGTCTTCTATGAGAAGATGGAGGAGATGAAGCCAGCGGACAGCTGGGACTTCATCATAGACCCCAACCTCAAGCACAATGTGTTGGCCCCTGGCTGGAAGCAGTACCTGGAGCTTCATGCCTCAGGCAGGTGAGTAGCCCAGAACTAAGGAGCCTGCAGGCAGCCTCTGGAACCCTATCTAGCCCTGGGGCATCTTCTAAGGAGGGAGGACACACATGCTTGTTTAAGTCTCACTGTTAGGCTGGTGTAAACTAGAAGACAGGTAGTCCCTCAGAGGGAGCCAGGGCACTAAGTTTGAGTCTAGGTTTTCTGCTGATTGCAGAACTTCTGTGCTTGTGGCTTCTCCACTTGACAAATAAAGAAGTAGGTTATATTTATTAGTTTCTGGCTCTGACAACTTACACACTTTTAGATTTAAATAATGTCTTTAAAAGTAGCTGTTAACTGAGAGAAGAGAGGCTTAGGTTCACCAGGGGTCAGGGGTCTGTGATCTTGCATTAGGAAAGTTCAGGTTACATCTGGTCATTTCAGCTCCATCTGGTTTAAAACAGTGAACACACGAATCATGCTAGAAACGGACTCTGCTGTTGGTTCCATGATGCTTGAGGAATCCACTCCCCTCTTTGTGCTATGCTTTCCCCACTTGCTGAGTGAAGGGCTAGCTTAGAGCTTCACCTTGTGCTTCAGGGATGAATGACAGTGAGATCATCTAGAATTTATTATAGCTGCTGAGCGTAGGGCCCCTTCCAGATTCACCTAAGTACCCAAATTTTAGAAGGCAAAGATACCCGAGCATAGCTACATTCTAGTCCATGGGTCCAGTCGATGGGTCTATGCTAAGACTTTACTTTGGAAACTTGAGTGAGGGCAGAAAGGTATAGAACAGGTGCCTGGGTCAGAATCGAAGTCCTCCCTGCACAGCTTGGCTCACTCTCAAGTCGTCTCAGGTGGCATTGCTGGATGGTGATTCTGACCCTCACTAGCTGTGAGAGGGCTCTTTTGCTGTGTCTTGAACCCAAATGAATGAAAAGTAATTTCTGTGGCCCCCCTCCCCGTTCTGACATTTTTAAATCCAAGTGTGGTCCGAGAGAAGGAAGTAGCTGTTAAAGATCTTAATAAACCTAAAGGCTAAAGTGAAAATGTGTGTGTGTGTGTGTGTGTGTGTGTGTGTGTCTGTATGTGTGTAGGGGGGTCACCTGGATCAGACGTTAGGAGGGTGCTGCTTCCCGGAGGTTCTCATAGGGTAGACTGGGAGGGTTTTGTGGCTAACTCAGACTTGGTCTCTGACTTGTGATCCCATGTTGACCTCAGTCAATGGGAGATTCTGGCCCTTGAGAGAAGTGGGGGGGTGTCACGTTGGGCTCATACTGGCTCCACTTCCAGGACATGGGGATGCATTTGCTCTGGGCCTGTGCTAGCCTGTCCAGTGTTGACAGATAGGCTTGTGTAGCTCTTAGTCTGCAAAATTCAGATTTGCTATCAGACTTCCACAGAGTGTGGGCAGAGGGCTCATTTAATGCACCCAGAGCACTTTCTAGATGAAGAATGAGTTCATTAGAGTTGGGATGAGGGACAAGGCCTGAAGGAGCAAGGCAGATGGGAGACACGAACTCTGGAAAGCAACCAGGGAGCAGACCATTACTAGATGCCCGGTGGCAAGTCTGGGAGACTGCTCTTGTCCCTTGGGCACTCACACAGAGCAAGAAGGATGGCATCCTGGGGAAACTAATGAACCCGGAGAGTGTCAGCACACCGCCCTACCTCCAGGCTCTG